CCCAAAACCCCAAAACCCCAAAACCCCAAAACCCCAAAACCCCAAAACCCCAAATGCCATTAATATTTGTTAAAGGATCGTATAACAGAATAGATTAATAATAAATTTTAATGAAAGTTTCAAATTACCCTCTATCAAGCAGCAAAAGATTAAAAATTTTTTTACTAGCTTTCATCACTACACTGAGCTTTATTAAAGTAGTTGAGGCAGGAAGATACAAAAACTTCACAAGTTAATATTCTGCTGAATGGGATACCATTGATGATTCTGGAACTTTGAGGTTAAAAATAACATTGAGAATGAAAGATCTTGATATTACTAGTTGGAGAACTCAAGGAGACAATGGACTCTGGATGGGTATTGGCTTTGGCTCAACTTAAATGGCAGGATCTGATCTCGCTCTTTGCACAATAGCCTACACTAATTCATCTTAAGACTCCTTCGTATGTGAGGACAGGTATTCAGAAGCAAGAGGCCAAACAATCCTTGATCAGAGTAGATAGATTGTTGACTTACCTAATGGAGTTGGATCAACCGCTGAATTCGATCCAATTTAGAATAAATATTTCTACACAACAGAGGCAACTTTCAAAAGAAACTTCGTCAATACTGATCCAAATCCTGATGAAGACAAACAGTTAATATTTGACTCTAATGTTGATATTATTTGGGCTTATGGTCAGATGAGTTCTGGGACAGCAAATTATCATTCCTAAAGGGGGATTGATAAGATTTATTTGTCTTCAAACTCAATGATATTGAAAACATTAACTTATACAGGACTTATTTTCTTATCAGCTATATTGTATTTCCAATGAAAGTCTCTAATGTTTGAATTTACTTTAACTAGTTCTATTTTTGCTTATATTAAAGTTAATATCATTCTGTATATTTATAATTTTAAACCTAAATCCATATCAATAATATGCATAAATATCATAGAAGTAAATTACTAATCAAATTTGTCAATTTCCTATTGCTAGTTTGAATTCACTATGTGGGGTTTTGGGGTTTTGGGGTTTTGGGGTTTTGGGGTTTTGGGGTTTTGGG